ATTGTAGGTTATGTTAACAGTGTCTTACAAGTCTGAAAGTACGTCTCTCCCCATCACCTTCACAGTCCAAGACACTAGGAACGACCCCTTCTGAGATGTTTGCTGTGGCCACAGTCCTTCTGTGGGCTTAGCTGCTTCTTGTCTTGTCCCAGGTCATTCTCACCATACCATTACACTTTGCTGCCACCTAGTATTTATCTGGATTTGTGTAGCTCAGATATTGGGGAATGAAGGCTCTTCCATTCAGGTAGCAAATGATCTGAAGCACCCCTGGATCTGACCACTTCACAGTTCGGATGGCTGTGTAATCTCTTCTTTCTTCAATGCTAAGCCAAATTCTTTCCTTTGTAATTTATAGCCACCTGATGCCTTGACTTATTAAACTGGGGTCCCTGCTGATCTCATTTACTATCTTCGTTTATTAACCTGGACTTCTATTGATCTTACTGATTACTAAGCAGGACTGCCTTCATAACTTTCTGCCCAAACTGCTAATACCTTGAGATTCCAACTAACATTATGCTGTGATTGCCAAAAAGCTGCACAGATTTATGACTGAATTTACCCACAAGACTTAGGATTGCTTTATTATTTTCTCCGGAAGCTTTTGATATTTACTCATTTAGGTCTCATGTAATACAAAATCTCCCAGCATATGGGCAATACAGCAAACCTATTCTGCAAAATCAAGGAAAGTGTTTAATATAGGTTAAATAAAGAGCTATTGTGGGTGATTTTTGAATGATTGATTTAAAAGCAAACTTAAATTGGTTTGATATTAGCTTAATTAAGATCTTTTCTGGATATGATAGAACGACTGAGGTCTTTGTTGCACACTCATGTCAAAAATACCATTAAATTGATCATTGTGTTTAACTGTTTTTAATGGGTGTTTTGTTTGTACACTACCCAGAATCACATTTAATGTGATGGGCAGCTAGTTAATGTTCATATTTAGCCAAGGCAACACATAAGGAGTTATATTTTTAAAATGTAATTTTGCTGTGGTTTCCATTTATTTCCTCTAGGAAGCTCTTGAATCACATATTTACATTGCATATGGATATCGATTCATTTTTTCTGACTGTGATTTAATGTCATTCACAGACACTCTCTAAATTAGGAATGGAATAATTTTAAAAGACTCAGTTTAGTATAGCGATTAAGGCATCAGCTAGAAATGGAAGATCGCGAGTCTTAGTGCTACTCTGGATATAAAACCAACTGGGTGACCTTGGGCCAGTCATTTTCTCTCAGCCCCAGAAGGGAGGCAATGGCAAACCACTTCTGAAAAATCTTGCCAAGAAAACTGCAGGGGCTTGTGCAGGCAGTTTACACTGAGCATGACTGAAATGGAAAAAAATATTTTTTTAAAAATATTTTGGTGTTTTGTATATTAACCGTTGAATAAACTAAATATATATGTATATATAAAAAAGAAAAAAATCTTGAGAAAGAAGAGAGAGTGTGATTCAGTGCTCAGTAGGTGTCAGCTAATTTGGCTAATTTGATAAAAACGAAGAAAGATTCTACCTGCTTACTGCTTGATGGGAGGAAATACCAGTCTTAAGGACTAGATTTAATAGTTGAAAAAAATAATCTGGAAAACATAATGGTGTTCATACTATTGCCAAGAAAAGAGATTTGTCCTTGTAGTCACCAGAAATTTATCTGTTTACTTTTTTAAATAGAAAGACTGAGTTAAACAATAGTCATTGTTGATTTGTGTTGGTGGATCTACATGTGGGAGAAAGAAAGACTTGTATTACTACAACATTCTCATTCAGTTTGTGTACAGACAATTAGGTATAGAGCCCAATTTAGAAAAATATATTGCTATTTAAATAGAAGTCTATATTATTATAGTGCCTTCTTTTCCTTTCCTTCTTTCCTTTCCATTTTTTCTTCTCTTTAAATTTATATTGCATGTTTGCTTTTATTATTGTATAAAGTATCTTAATAATCCACTTTTATCTTTTATACTATAAATAAGACTTTCTGAAAGTCTGTCTTTTGGGAAGTGGATACACCATTGCTTTTTACTGGAAATTCAATGCTGTTTTGAATAAATCATTTTCTGCATACCTGATTCCCTTCCAAAACTGCTGCATTGCAATTCTCACCATCATCCCCCTATGGCCACCCTATCCAGGAACCCACCCTACTCAGTTTTGTTGTGGTACATAAACGGATCGTACCGTTGGTGAACCTGCTCTGCATTGAACTAGTTGCATGTGGCTACCATATGAAGAAGACATTTTGGGTTGCTTTTGTACGATGTGAGAAAGGGCTTGAGTGAGAAGGTCCAACAAGGCTCTTGGTTTTATTAATTCAGAAGGAAAGCAAATGTAGGGTTGATAAATTATTGATAGCAGAACCATGCATATTTTAGTAGTGATTAACCCTCTAAGTGTTCACTTGGGTATCACATACTTTTGATGTGCAACCCCTTTTTACTCTTGTGTTCAGCAAGGTCTTCTGCATATCAACAATCCAACTGTCAGATGTCCACAGAGAACATTTCTCTTGACTTCAGCATTCCTTTTCCCTGTTAATGCTAAGAGATGATTAAAAACGGCATTTCCATAAAGCTGCAATATAAACAGCTATCTATAAGCAGATAACTAGATTAGTTGCCATGGGAACAGAAAATACAATGTCAGAATGAAGTTGAATGAAATCTTGGATCATCTAGAAATGAGCCCCTCCATTAGCTACCCTTTTTTTATTGCCTATCTTCCAGTCTTCAATTTTCATTCATATTTGGAAAAGTCAAAAGCAGGCAAAGCAAATCTAATTCTCCTCCCTCCCCACCCTGTACCGTGGAACTAGACTGAAAACTGCAAATTTGTAGTGTTGTAGTCATCTTTCTAGATGGAGAAATAAAACTTGAACAATGAATTATAGATTTTGAAGCAGTTCTCTGAGATACTAAGTCTGGGCTGTCAATAAAGCTATCAAAAATCAGCCGATAGGATGCTGATTGGTTTCCATGGCAACAGATCTTCTGCCTCTGTCACTCTAGCAACAGAGATCTGATCACCTTGAAAGTAAATCTGGGCATATTTCCAGTTGATCATATGAAACTGTCTCTCCAGCTAAATCTGGTCCATTTTATTCTTTTTGTATCTCAGACAATGCTGTATAATAGTGTTTGTTATTCAACATTATTACAAAGTTGTGTGTTTTGGCTTATGGTGATTTGAATTTAGGTCAGTATTTCAATATTGTAGACCAATAAGAGCATTATGGGGATAGATTTTAAGGAGATTAAATTGCAAATGGATTTTCCTGTTCACTTCTAAAATAGATGACCACTTCCCTTCCTTTGGTTTTGTTTCTCTGACTTATTCTGAATATATTGGGTGTTCTTTTTGTTTGTTTGTTTGTAGTCATGCTGGGGTAGATTTTCCTGATCCTACCTGTGAATCTTAATTTGTGGTTGAAGCTACTCAGCTTACAAATTGGGCATATAAAGTTCTATAAAGATCAGCTGATTTAATAAAGACAACGTAGTTAGGCTTTTCTTGCCTGGGTTTCCCCCCACCTTTATTACTTTGTAAGTGACTCAATGCAGTGAACATACATACTATTCCTCCCTCTTTGTATGGAACGAGTTTGCAACATGTATTGGCATCCTAATTAAGGAAATAAGCTAAATAATCAGGGGTTTGATATAGCATACATTTTAGCTGAACTTCTAATTTTTTCCACAGTCAAGTTAAGTGTTTTAAGGAGTATTTATATATAAAGCTCAAGTTGATTTTCTGTCTGAAATGGTTTCATATGACAATGTATCTATCATCTTTGTATAAGTGGGCAAATCCATCCATTTGTCTATTAAGGGAAGACCATACAGAGCATTTAGCTTTTAAAAGACTAGATTTAAAGCCATTATTTGCGGTGCTGGATTAGGATGGCCAGAGTTGGCCACAAGTGAGGGGTTAAAAAAGTCAGCATGACAGCTGTGACTTGAAGCTCCATCCCCTTTTACATTTGACACACATAAAACATGGTGAGGTTTTAATAACAGTGGTTGCCACCATCTTGACTCTTGATTTCTTCCTGCTACATACATGTACATTGATCACTCCAGAAGTTTGCTGTCTCTTGTTTTTTAATTGCTATGTTGCTAGGAGTAATAACATCATACTGATCTATTACCAGCACAAATTTTGTCCCTGTTAAAAAAACAGGAAAGCTTTGATTTTCTGTCTCTTGTAAGAAAGGAAAGGGAAGGGAAGGGAAGGGAAAAAGGAAAGGAAACGAAAAAGGAAAGAGGAGAGAGGGGAGGGGAGGGGAGAGAACTCCCTGCAGATTTTACTCTAGTCGTTGCTCACGGCTGTTCTGTCCCAGCCTATGTGAGTCCTTGTTATGCTCACAAGGAGAAACCCCTCTTCCAAGAAACAGGCAGGAACCGCAAGAAAAAACTAACCCCTTTTATTCTCACAGACCTGAGGCAAACAGTCCACAGAAACTCAATCCTCAACACGAATGGTTGCCTTCGGCAACCAGCATCCCCCACACCTTCCCTTTTATAATTCAACCAAGGCGTGGCTTCCTAATGCCTTCTCCTTTGCCTTTGGAGCTGCCCCATTGCATTCCTCTGTCCTACTCGCTTCTCTTGCCTGCACATTCGTGCATCTGGGATTTGTCCCAACTGTTCTTCATCACTGTCCAACTCAGGCTCCCAGCACAGCTGTGTCTCAGCCTGAGCGCGAGTAGAGGGGCCAGGCTCCTCATCCGACTGTAAGTCTTGGAGCTCCTCAGAGCCTTCCCCTGATTCTAATGTCACTCCAGGCCCCTACTCCTCATCTGATTCCTCAGACTCAGCTGCCAGATCCACTGGCTGTCAGGAATCACAACAATGGCCTTGAAACGGAGATGTACACTACCCCCTCTTGTAAGAAAAGGCCATATATATTTAGTTATATGGGGAAAGAAAGGAACAACTCTAAACACTTCTGGGACACACAAATAAGATTTCTCTACTTCAATGCGGAATTAATATTCATTTTAATGATATTAGCACAATAAACTCACACAGTAGCATTGAATTTTGTACTTATTTAACAAAATACATTTATAGCAATTTACAAAGTTTGTTTTTTTGTTTTTTTAAAACAGTGCATAACATTTTATTAGAACACAATACTTTATATAGAATTCTCATTTAAAAACATATTCTGTATTTTACCCAATTTTTTTTCTTAGTAAAGCACAGCCTAAACAAAGAAATTGGTGCCCCTTTCAAGCAAGTAAAAACAAAAAAACTTGAAGATGCCACCTGTCAATTTGAATTGTTTGAAATTAAGGTACCAGTGGAATGTAAACAGAGATTTGTTTTACAAAAGGCTTCACAGATGATATACAAACAGAAGTTAGAATCTCAATTATATTATTATTACACTCTTTGTTCTTTAATGTAATTACTGAGAAGCCGTTATTAAAAAGAGTAGCCTTTGGCACTTCTGTGTAAAAAAGTATTTTCAGTATTTTAAGTAAAGAATGTAATTTCAATGATTTTGCAAGTGCTTTTAAAGTTGTTGGCTGGTAAGTAGGAAAAGTTTAGATAGGAAAAGTATCACTGCCATTGAAAGAGTGCAGCGAAGTTTAGAGTCCACGTAACAACGCACAATTATTTATATCTGGTTAGCTAACTAAAGCAAAGCAAGAAGGATAATTAAAGAAAAGCAACCAGTCCCTCCAAAAACATAAACATGCCACAGAAAAAAAATGAGATGTTATCTAGAATGGCTATTCGGAGTGCTTGTATTATTGCAGTTGTTCAGATCACAATCCTGTATTTATTCACTGAAACACAAGTCCTGATGAGCTCAGTACAACTGAGAGTGATACATAGGACATGTTTTTAGCCTAGCAGTGACTGTGTGCTATGTACTGTTAAGTCTTTCAAAGGCTTTCCAGCTTAATAAACTGAACTGTAATCCTCTCTGCCTGCGAGTCAGAATTGATCAGAGTTAAGAAGACTTAATCTTGGTCAAGAATCTGAGTAGCCTTTCCTTTGGGGAAAAAGTTCAGTACTATTTTTAACATTAAATTCTGCAAATAGACAGTCAATCCTCCAATCCAGCTAGGGCAAAAATGTAGCCTCAGAGCCCCAGCAAGTAGCTCCAGGGCTTCTTCAAACTAGCCACCAAATTACAACTTTCAATGTGAGAGAAGTTCTATAACACATGGGAACTAATCACGTATAGTATATTAAGTTTCAATTATACTAACATTTAAATCAAATTTAGTATATTTGGTCCTACCTGCTTTTTCAGTGCAGCCCATGGCATGATATTCTAGTTAAAGACTAGATGTGAGCCTCCTATGAAAAAGCATGGATGCTTCACTAGGGGGGGCCCTTATCAAATGTTCAACATAATGCAAGGAGCTGTTGGTACAAGAGTGTTGGACATAAAAATATATTGGCTGGATGCCTGCATCCAACAATCAGGATTGCATGGTTTATTCCTGAGCTGGATTGGAATTAAGGGTGTGCGATGACCAGTTTGGGACTGGAAGAAATGGAAACATAGGTATGTTTTGAGATGCGTATCTCAAGACATAATTCTCATTTGTTCTGAGTGGTATCATTAATAATGCCTCCCTTTCCATCTAATCCAATGAGAGATGTTAACTCCTCAGTGCTATTACGGGCTATGCAAGAAATAACTGCTTGCTGCGTAACTCACATTAGATTTCAGAATGATTATCTAAAAAAGAACACTTTTCTTGCGGAAGACCAGTAGTGGGATTCAAATATGTGAACAACCGGTACTCTGTGTGGATGCCACTTCTGGAAGTCCATTCTGGGCCTGAGCAACAAAAAATTAGCTACCGGTTCTGCTGAAGTGGTGCGAACTGGCTGAATCCCACCACTGGGGAAGACCATGTCTTTTGCAGGACTGCAGGCTAAGCTTCAGCATAGTCATGCTAGTTGAAAGAATCTCAGGTATGTGAGCTGGTAAAGACAATTGCCTTTAGATGGGGAGAGCCGCTATTAACTGGTGGGAACAACTGCATTGTTGTTGATTCTCTGAGCTTACAGGGATGTGGGAGGGGGGAATGCAAGAGGATTTGCTGTCTTATGCTCCTGTTAGAAAAGGGGATATGAATTCAATAAATAGAATATAACGAGTAGTTTGCTCCCTCTACCATCATTTTTAAAAAGTAGTGGGAAGTACAATATTTGCACTTTGCTTCTGAAGTGTTTTTAAGCACTGTTTTAATAGACAAGATAGCTTTATTGCATGATGATGACCAAATTCTTCTTGTATTATGTACTTTTTTTTGATGTTAACAAGAAAAATTAACAGGTTTCCAATAGATAGATTGGATTCCAATTCTTTCCTGTAGAATAGAAATGAGGATAGATTGTCAATCAAAGCTCTTTGGAGGGAGCAAGGGAAACATAATCAAGCAACTATAGTTGATGTTGGCCCATTTAGATTTCTAGAACATAAGGATTTGGACTGAATCGTCCAAATGCTAGATGCCAGATACCTCTCAATTTTCTTCCTTGGCTGAGTGTTCTGATGTGAACTAACTACATAGTTCATCCCCTGGATTAATGTACAGATCAACCATTGCATTATTAGTTGGGTTTCACATTTCCTGTGAAATGTGCTGGCAGTTTTATTAGCTTTAAAAAAAAAACAGGTTTAAAATGCCTGTTTTATGCGAAAATAAGAAATGTGTTTTCTAAGAACCTATTTCATTTGAAATGTTCACATAGGATAAAAGAATTTATAGAGACATGGCTTATGAGGTGAAAACCTGAACACAGGACCTGACATGAACCCAAAATAAATCAATTTGTCCATAATTTATTATACTAGGAAATCCTTATTATTATTATTATTATTATTGATAACCCATTTCATTCGACCAGTTTTCTCCTTAGTTGGGTAGGACTCAAGATGTGCTCATGGTAGGGGGGAAAATAATTATATTCTAACTGAAAATGATGTTAACTGAATACGAGTGGTGGTACTACAATGCAGCACTTTTATGCTTGTTTGATGATTGTTACTGGGCATGGCATTCTTTTTAAATCAAAAAATAATCACTGATGGATGAACATGCTACAAGTAGTTGAAGGGTCATTTTATATTTCAAATGAGTAAGAGAATCACTTCTCTGTGTGAGTGTGAGTATTGGTTTTATCTGTGATTGTCCTCAAATGAAAAGACCAGCCCATCCATGGGATAGGAGAATTATCCAGTATCTCATATTGTCAGAGGCCACCAGATAGCCAGCTACAAAATACCTCAACCATTGCTTTCATTGACATCAAAACTGTCAAATCCTATTTAATATATTAGGAATTCAGAGGGAGGCAGAGGTTCAACACTGATGCAGAAGAGAAGGGGATAGGTGATCTAATGTAATCTGGTTTTAAGTACTTAAGATAGCAAACTGTCATGCGGGAGAGGATTCAGCTAACTTAATTTCAGTTCTCATTTCCACTGACTATTTTACCAGCCATGGGAGATTAAGATAAGCCTCTTATGATTGCTTGGGACTTCCAATCATGTTCCTTCATTAAATTCAGGTCACTTCTGGAAGCAAAAGCACAAACCACTTTTTGGGAAAAGAATAACAGGGGTCCTTTGTCTTGTCTGTGATGTTCCTATGTTTAAGGCCACACCTGCTAATCGATTAGGCAATTTGACTTGTAAGATTTATTTGCACTGTTACAACACAGTGGTAGTGATCGGGGTGAAATGCTAGCTAATCAACGATGACCTGGAAAAAAAAATGTAAGCAATGAGGCAAATTGAGAACCTGTTCAAAATGAAGAATTTGAATTAGTGCTATAAGAGATCCCTATCTTTTTTTTAAAAAAAGCACAATATTTAAATTAATCCCAAGCTATCTCATTAAAAAGCAACATCTATCTCTATAGCACCTATAACTGAATAAAGTTTGGAGAAAAGCAAAAAAATAAACTAACTTGGGGGGGGGGGGAAATCATTCAACTTTCATGGGATATCATCTTTTGTTTCTGTTCTCTTTTTGGCTCCAGAAAAATCTCTCAAAGAACTACACAAAATTTTTGCAATCATCTGAGATGAAAATTGCACTATAGCAAAGCTGTATTGATTCTTGATACTTTTCTATTCTAAATGAATGCAGTTAGCATGTGTTTTCAGCTAGAATACTCGGAAAGAACTCGCACGTCAAAATGTATTGTGTTTAGAGAGCTGCACAGGAGTAGAAGTTTTCTAAAAATGTAAAGTTAGAATCAGCACCATTTGGTATTAAGTTTTGGTGCAAAACCCGCAAAGATGAAGTACAACTCTGGTACAGCTTTTGCTTATTTTTTTAAAAAATTGCTTCCCTTTGACCATGAAATAGAGATAAGTTGAAAAGTTGGCACATTCAGGAAATAAGTGGTCTCGTTTTTAAGACCGCTCTTTTTGCTGACATAGATCCCGCTGGAAAAACATTTTGATTCTGAAAACAAAAGCTTGCTCCCCTTCATTAGGTTCTTGCATTGTGCTTTTTCCCCCCGCGACATGAAATTCACAAATTCATGCACAATCACTACACATCAGCAACATCCATAAACAGTCAGGCTGATGGTCAATAGTTGGCACATCAAGAATATTTCGGCATCAGCTCTAAAAATAAAGAGAGTACAACGCTTGCACCCGAACTGTATTGATTGTGGTGGTGTTTGTTTTGGCTGAAGCGCCAGCCCTCATTCTTTGTAAGCTCTCGTTGGAGACGTTCCTTTGTAGAAGATATTCCTGGTGTTCTCTGGGCTGCTGCCTCTTTCGGGAATTAAAATGATATTCCCTTTTCTCCGAAGTGTTGAGTCACGGCTAGAAGAAATGGACAGGGTCTCTGAACCAATCTCACTGCCTTCTACAGGGGTCACTCTTATTGTGGTGATCCCATGATGATGATGGTCACCGCCCTCGATATTGCTTCTTTTCCGGTCCCCAGAACAGTAACTGTCTTTCAAAGATTCACAGCTCTCAGAGTCTCTGTTGAGATCATTGAGCTCGTACGTTTGGCGGAGGCTTCCTTTCTCCGGGGCTTTCCATTTCCAGGACCCACTGCCTTCTCCTTCGGATGGCATTTGAATGATGGGGCGGCTATTCTCAGGATGGGCCTCTACTCTTACAATACTGCTTGGCTCGTGATCGGTTAAGGTTTTGTAGCGGATTGCTCCTGTACAGGTGACTGTACCGCCATCAGAGCTCTTTGGGCTGCCTTGAAGAACTCCTTGTTGCTTTGACATGGCTATTACCTGCATGATCCTCGGCTGGCTGTTGCTTCTGCATCCAACTGTCTTCTCGGCAGCTTTTAACCACTTTGCTCGAGCGGAACTTGTTTTGGGAGATGCATTCACATTTTCTTGAGTCTCTTCAGGGATGTGCACAAGCTGGGAAGATCCTGGACGTGACTGAATAGAGACTCTGGGTACCCCAGATAGGCCAGCGCTGTTACAGCCTGGCATGCTACCCGGTTGAATTTTTAGGTACTGATTGCTTGGACCATGGGGATCTCCATTCATACCCACCCTAGATGGCTCAGAGCTTGACCTCATTTCAATGGCTCTAGGCGGCGACTGTCCGGAATCGGTTTCAATGACCTGCAGGGACAGCTTCCGACTTTCGTTCTTGTTCTTCCACTGAGAGAGAAGTTGCTTCGAGCGGGCGGAATCCATAGACGCATGTATGGTTGCGTTCCGTCGAGCTGACTCCTCTACAGCAGGTGTGTTGACTCTTGGCAAGGTGTTGCTGAATGTGACCATGTTTTCCTTTCCCATCGGACTTCGTGGCATTATAATCTCGACATCAGCATTTGCTCTCTTAAGGTTTGTCAAGGAGCCAGTGTCTCTGTGGTTCCTGTTCAACATGTTCTCCACATGGTGAGTAGCGATCACATCGTTACCACTACCACTTTTCCCTGGTAAAATTCGATTGGGATCTTGGCTTAGGTCAGGCAAAGGTCTCAATGGCTCTCTATGTATGTTATGACTGAACATGTTGTCTTCACTTGGCAGAAAGTTCCCCACAGCATACAGACCCTGGTATTTGAAGGGGGGAAAAATAAAACCCTTTTATGGAAGAAAAAATATTTATAGACACTTTGGTAAAAGATAGTTAAATTTCTCAAGTGTTGTGGGTAGAGAACAAACTCTTAAAACTGCTAATATATCAGCCAATATAGATAGATTTTTTTCCCCATAGTGGGAGTACACGTATTCCTAGTAATTATTTTGATCTGTCTCTGTCTCAAGATCCCTAAGGAACAGTTTCACCAGCAGCTGGAAGAGGCAAAGGAACACGAAAAGACATCAGTGGATATCACATTTCTTTAGTTAAGAAGAAGCTGCAATATCTCAGGCCAATTTCAGAAGAGCTTAGTTATTTAAAAGGACAGGCCCTTTTCAGTCTGACAGCTTTAAGTCTAATTCTGAGGAAGGAAACCAGAATCAACGAAGTCCAGCAGTTTAATAAGCGCACAGGCAATGAGGTGCTCCTCCTATAGCCAGTTGCATAACATATGAAGGACCACATGAAGCCTCCAGGCTTTGTCCTGGCCCCCAGAGACCTCTAAAATCTAATGCTGAATTATAAGTTTAAATGTGGCAGAACACTATTCCACAGAGGGGAACCAAGTGTTTTATTTGTCTTGATCCTACACAACTTTTAAAGTAAAACTGTGGTACCCCTCTGAAAGAGCAGGTGTGGACCTCAGTGCAGAAAGCATATCCTCCGCCCAGAAGTATGTAGGAAAAGGGCTGGAGTAAGCTAATCCTGGGGGGATTCTCCATGCCTCACTCTTTACTACTAGTACGAGAGACTTTGAGATAGCACAAGCAGGTTATTATGGCTTAATATAGCATTTCCCAAACCAAATGCCCTCCAGAATTGTCTAGCTGGCATGGCTCTTCAGGGAATCGATGTCCACAAATTTGGGAGGTTGCAGAGAGCTGACCCCAGGACCTGTCCAGTCATATTTTTGTCTTTCCAAAAAAGACATCAACAACAATAATAGGCATTGCAAAAGACCAAAGCGCCTCTCTTCTTCTTTGGAAGGTGCTTGATGAATAGGGTGATATGCTTCAGAATGACACATCTAGGTGAAAAAGCTGGGTGGTACAGTTCAGTGGGATGTAGAAATCCAGTAGAATGAAAGGATCAGAATCATGTGAAAAGAGAACGAATAATAAAAGGTACAACCACAACATGAGAAGCGATCAGTGCAAAGCATTGTTTACAAAGTAAAACGTAAATGTTGATATTTTGAGGCCTTTCAACTTTGAAAATAGTGCAAACCATCTGTATTTATTTTTACAGGCACAGAATTAGGCCAGGACCACCTGGGCCATCAAGGTTGCTCCTTGTGGCCTCGCTGGGCATTTTAATTGTTCCAAGGATATCTACACGGGATCAATGGGAATCCTTTAAAATAAAATTTAAAAAAAGGTTCGACACTTTGCAGTGGGCCAACTTTCCATGCACTATTTGTTTAATCAAAATAATTTCTGGGGGAAAAAAAAAACAGGAAGAACATAGCACTTGCTGTAAAATTATCTACAGATACAAAAAAAATATGACTAGTGCAAACTAGGTTATAGTAAGCACCATGATATCCCATCCATGATTCCCAGAGCTCTGCATAGGAACAACTTGTCATGCAGTTGCATACATAGTTCTGCTCTCCTTCATTAATTTGCTATTAAAGAGAAGGAGTGATTTGCTCAAGATTGCCCAAGTGAGCTTCATGAAGGCTTACAGAACCCTCAATACATTATATTATCTTATGAATAGATCATCGGTGCCCTTTCTGTTTTTCAAGGACATCTGTTCATTTTTAGAAGCACCTTGTAGAGAGCCAATTTGAATAACGTACACGAGACATCTAAAAATCACATAAAACTTCTTAATTTATAAGACATGGCATTCTGAGTGCTGGCATTCTACTTACCAAGTAGAGGGCAATTCCGCCCCCAATTAAAAAGCCACAATAAACATCCACTGGATGGTTTTTGTACTGGGTGATGCGTGTCAGGCCACATATGATTCCGCAGATGATAAAAGCAAAGACTAGAAGTGGTTTCAGAAGTTTTGAGGAGTCAGTTAGCGTAGAATTGAAGTACATCTTTAAAAGAAATACATTTTTTTAAAAAGTTTAGTGCCGTTTCCCCATGGAATGGTAATCTTTCTTTTCCTGTTTTTTTGAAGGAGGGTAATAAAGGAAAACAAACAAAAACCCCTTGGGTTATTTTGAAAGAAGAAGAAGAAAAAAAACAACCCTAAATTCAGTTGATATGTTGTCAGATGAAAGAGTCAAGGATTTTCTCCTTGCTGTTTGGAATTTGGGAGAAAAACGAAAATGCCAACCATGACTCGGAGTACAATAACAGTGATGGGAACTATAAGGATTTTCTTACTGTTAGTTTACAAATGGAATTAAAATGAATAGCTCAGTTTCCTGAGTGAATGGGTTAAGAGAGGGTCAGTGGCTCTTTCAGATAGCAATTTCTATCTGACTCTGAGAACATGGAACCAGGTGAGGACAAGTCAATCTTCAAAATGTCTTCTGACTCAATGGAGTGGAGAGGTGAAAGGCCCACTTTGACACACAACTCCAAACTCCACTGAATAATTTCTCAAGGTGTGAACTGAGCACCTGTCAGTATGAATCAGCCAGGGAATTTATTTGGAGGTGTTATGGAAATTGCACAGGAAGAGCCAAGTGCTAAGGGAACCAGATTAGAGCTGCTTATCCCACAAAGCCTTTGGAGAAAAGAAGGACCATCTCCCATATTATAATAAGCTAAATTCAATGATAATCCTGCCCCCACTAACCTCCACCCTTCCGTGAATGCCATTAGAAATAATCAGATATGTCTCTTCACATCACTACTTCCTACTAATGATATTGGAGATGTCTGGATGTAGTCTGGATGGGGTGACATCTTAGCTTAATAGCAGTGAAGAACCATAGTTGAAAGCCCTTCAAATATTTCAAAAATTAAATCCTCCATGCATTGTGAGAAACACTTTCGGTGGTTAGAGGAAAAAAACAGGTGCAATTCTATGCCATGTCCACTTATCAGGAAATAAGAGTAATAGGTGTCAAAGGGGATATGAGCCATGTGCTTTCATGCTGATTTTTCAGTGACTTGGGTTGAAAAATTAAAAGACTGATATAAATACTGAAATATTGACTCATTTCTGATATTAATTTATTCCCTGATGTGTATGGAGAATCTCAGTCAACTAGGTCATGGTTATCCTAAAGGTGCTTTTCCAAAAGGCAATTGGACTTTCATTCAACTTCTTCCATTCTCCACCATTCTGTCAGAACCAAAGAAACTTCTCGTTCTTTGATGGCATACATTTTCAGTCATGAAAAAGTTCCTTTCATTTAATGCAGATAAATCAACAATGGTGAAAATGAAAGTTGTAGATTTTTGTGACCTGTCACAAAATGCTGCTCTTACCTGGATGTAAGTTCACTAATCACATTGGATGTTACTTAGGAGTATACATATGCATATCCACATTTGTATTATTGTGATTTGGCCATGCTTCTCTACACTGCTTTTAAAAATATTTCCTTGTTCCAAAAGACAGGAGATTTAATAAAAATGGTGTTTCTACCGATTCTCCTTAATCTCGAATTTTTATATTTCACTTCTTTGAAAAAAAAAATGGTTGGGGTGATTCCTCTTTATCATCAGGCTGTTTTATACAAGGGAAGAAATGATATTGTGATTTCCCCCCCCCCCCTCACTCTTGTACACATTAATATGAAGAGGCTTAATTACTCACCGAAACATACACAGCTGCAAATGCTGCCAGGGTGGCGTGTTGTGAAGGAAATGACTTTCTGCAAAAGGAAGGACATTCAAATTAAATTTCTCACTGAAAAGACATTCTCCCAAGCCTGATTTAAAAATAACCTAAATCACAGGGTGGTCCAATTTGGTTACCGTGTTTAACCTACAAGCTTGTATTCTCGGAAATTATTATTACATTATCAGTTTAAAAAAATGACCTTTTGGTATTTTGTAAAGAATGACTGTCGTAGCTCACATTAACCAACAGTAATAGTCATTTTGACTGCACTGATTAAAATCCTGAATGAAGAAAATTTCCAATTATGACAGAATGAATATTGCATAAAGATTTGGCAATAGCTCATTTCTTGCCATTAATTTTCCCAGTGACTGGGTAAGCATTGCACCCATCAATTAAAACTCTTTAACCCATTGCCCCAAAATTGGCAGCAGAATTCTCCTCCTCCAGGATTACTATCTGTGCTTACTTGATGATTTGCTAATAATCACCACCCAGTTTTTTTTAAAGTTGTAAAGAAATAGATATCTCAGAAAAGTAGTTCAGTCTTGATCCATGGTGAGGCTGGCAATTAAGATGTTCAGCGGCACAAAAGGAATCTAGAAAACCTTAAAGCAGCGTTTCTTAAAGTGTGGTCCAAGAACTCCAGAGTCCCCTATCAGAGTTTCTCCTGGGTCCACAAAATCAAAATTATTTGCCAGACTTTGAAGATATTTGCAAGAATTAAAACAATGTCACTCTTCTTACTGTTTTTAGTTGTTAAGAAAATACAGGTTTTTTTTTTAACATGCTAATGTTTACGTTAAAATCTAACATACATTTAATATGCTCAACATTGTTTATTCAATAGGTTTAATGTTGTTACTTTTACGTGATTCAATAAACAATATTCGACTAACACATCAATTTTAATTTTTAATATGGTAAATATCGATCAATGTAACCTACACAGTCTAAAGCTCTTTCGGGGTCCTCTATTAATTTTAAAAGTGGAAATGAGTCCTGAAAGCAGAAGCTCAAGAAATACTGCTTCTAAGGGTTGATTAAAAAGTACAAGCACTCAGGCGGTAGTTAGTAGGTAGGAAAAAGGTGTTAAACTAATTATTTCATTTTTTTATCTTGTGGAGTGATATTTTAATATTTACCGTAAATGCCGGCGTATAAGGCGACTTCCGCAAGCGCTGAAATCGGTGCCAAAGACGGGGGTCGTCTTATACGCCGAGTCGTCTTATAAGCCGGAAATACTGATAGTTTCTGGCGTATAAGACGACGTTCTAGGAATGCGGCCCGGCGATAAAGACGGGGGTCGTCTTATACACCGGGTCGCCTTGTACGCCGGCATATACGGTATCTCTCTAAAAAGAATTCAAAAACTTAATTGTTGTAGTGAATATATTTCCAAAAGGCAACACTTAGGAAACACTTCTTCTTAAATTCAACATCTAGCCAACTTTGGCTGATCTGCAGGGTTGAACCTGATTAGGACTTAGATAAGGACCACCTTGGCTAAACCTGAGGAACCGTGGCGGAGCCATGGTTAGAATGCAGTATTTCAGACTAACTCTGCCCACAGCCAGGAGTTTGATCCTGACCGGCTCAAGGTTGACTCAGCCTTCCATTCTTCCGAGGTCGGTAAAATGAGGACCCAGATTGTTGGGGACAATATGCTGACTCAATAAAACACTTAGAGAGTGCTGTGAAGCCCTATGAAGCGCTCTATAGGTCTAAGTGCTACTGCTATTGCTAAGTGTTATTGCTAAACTGCAAGGTTGAAGAAAACATTCTGGTAGTAGAAGGTTATGGCAAACCATTTCTTTACTTTTGTCAAGATAATGACAGTGATATCTCCATGAAGTAACTTAAAATTAAAGTCCACTTGAGGAGACATGGATGCACTCAAGCAAAGCTTATGCATGAAGCATTTGTACATGAAAAGTCTCACTAGAGCAGTGGTTCTCAACCTTTTTAATGCCGTGACCCCCAACCGGTCGTAAGTCAAGGACTACTCAACCGGTCGTAAGTCGAGGACTACTCAACTGGTGCAGCACCGTTTGCAGAATGGGACTTTTGGCGGGCTCAGCAGGGCAGAGACAGCCTGGACAATTCCTATTGGCTTTTGAAAGCCAATAGAATTAGACTTTATTCAAGAGAGTCTATTCTACTGGCTTTCAAAAGCCAATAGAATAAAAGGGAGCAGCACAGCTAAGGAAAAGGGGGAAAAAAATGGCCGACTGCATTGTTTGACAATCCCCGTGAAATGGTCGTTCGACCCCAAATGGGGTCCCGACCCACAGGTTGAGAACCACTGCACTAGAGAATATACAATAACCTATTCTGAGATAGGTATTTTTTAAAAAAATATTGAGGCAATCTCAAAAATAATTACTGTAAATCTGGGAAATTGAAATAAGATTGTTAGGATTTTTTTTCCTTTTTAAAGAACTGAGATTAGACTGTCTTCTTTTAAAATTAGACTTTATATATTCATTTTCTCTAAAAAAAGAAAAACTTGGGCCACATTTTAGCCTGCTGGTTACAAATGTTATTACAGTATCTAAATATCTGTTTATAAATCACTTAATTTTACACATGATGATTACTCTTTGAATACAGATAGTAAATGGATATACAGAGAGATATTCACATCTTGGTAAATTCTAAATGTGTGTTTTTCTTAGAACATTATATTACGCATTTGGGGAGAGAGTATAGGAGCAGGAAAATATTGTTCAATTACTGCCTTGGCCTATTATTAAGGAAATCTTTCGCATTGTTGCAATCCATTTTGTTGACAAAATTACCTTTTTTTTTTAGTAAGACACAAACCCCTGCAATTGTAGCCCGCTTACTCACTGCCATTTTCAAGCAACTGAAACATCCATTTTGTTACTATCCTTACTTATAAGGGTAGTCCTTAACTTACAACCATTTGTTTAGTGAGCGTTCAAAGTTATAACGGCACTGAAAAAAGTGACTGATGACCATTTTTCAGACTTACGACCATTGTAACATCCCCATGGTCATGTGATTTACATTTGAATGCTTGACAACTGGTTCATATTTTATGATGGTTGCAACCTTCTGACAAGCAAATGGGGGAAGCCAGATTCACTTCAGAACTGTGTTACTAATTTAACATGTGCAGCGATTCACTTGACAACTGTGGCAAGAAAAGTCGTAAAATGGGGCAAAACTCATGTAATAAATTTCTCACTTAGCAACATAAATTCTGGGCTCAGTTGTGGTCATAAGATGAGGACTACCTGTAGTTAAGGAAACTTTTGTTACGAGAACTTAAGGAGAGCCGTTGAGAATTGCATCAATTTCTCCCTGTAGAACTCTACCCTCTTTTATCTGTTTCTATATATGCTATTTCTTAGATATGCTAATATATGGCAGAATACAGCCAAGGAGTTTGATCCACATTAACACAGCAGAAGCAGAGTAAAAAAAGACCAGCTGCCTTTGGTTCGTTGCAGTGTCACCTACCTGTCAATCAGTCCAACAAACGTAATTTACCTGAAGGTAACTACCTTCATCCTAGCTAATTTTGATGCTAATTGTAGCCATCAGGCATCACATCATGGAAGGGAATCATGGGATGGACATTTGGGCATTTCACTCCCTGCTTTTGGCTAATAATTAAATTGGCAGCTAATGCATTAAGCCTGTAGCTAAGAGCAAAATAAGAGAAACACAGGTATTCATCACCTTTACTGAGACACCAATGTCCTTGGGTTCTTCCCAACTGTCATCTTAAAAAAGCCATTCCAAAATGGACAGAACTACGTTTTTCCCATCTGATTTCAATAAAGCCTATAAAAACTGCTTGATATCATATATATATATATATACACACACACATACACACAGAACATTGGAGAACAGGCCTTGTCTTTCTGGTGCTGATGGCATGCAACTTCATAAGTCATTTTTACCTAAAGAACATACTAAAATATTCTATGTAAATTACAAAGCAAATGCTTGCCTTGTGGAAAAGCAAAATATGTGGACAAGTACCATAATCAGGCTGACAAGGATGTACATACATGATGAACAAGGGATAACAAATACTGAATAACATACAACTAAATATGTTTCTAACCTGCCATCATTGATGATAATGGGATCAGATCCTGAGCAAATATCCTCCACAATGTAAGAATTTTCTGAGCACGATACATTGAGGGAAGTATAATTAGGTTTGCATACAGTCAGGAAATACGGTGTTTGATAGCCAGTTGACAGCTGTATAATATCAGTGATGAGTGCGGTAGCACAAAGGCCAAAGATATGGACACCTAGAAATGGAACAAAAGAATTTATTACACTTTGGTCAATGGAAAGCCAAATGGGTCACTAAATGCCCAGTTATAGGAAGACATATAAATGACCTCACAAAAAAAGGTGCCAGGCTTTGAACTACCACATCAGCAATGGACCCGCATCTCACATGCCCTCTGCTGGGACTCTCTGTATAAATGGGTCATAGTATCCTCCCCTCAGTGTGACTGAGGGGTTCCACGTCAAACTGTAGATCACATTGTGACCAGCTGTAAGCTGAGGGCATATATCGGTTGCATTTCAATGGTTAGATGGCCTAGATATTGATATTTGAACATAGATTTTCTTGATGTTTATGTATTATTGAGTTCTACTAATTTAGTTGAAATGTTAATTTACATTGCTAGTTCATCTATGCTATGCCATATGCTAAATAAATAAAAAAACTTTGGTCAAATAGACATACTGTTTAATTTGGGATGGCAGCTGGTGACCTCTGGGGTGATCTAAATCTGCCCACATGGTAAAATGCCTGCTAATAATGTGAAATTGAAGGTACGTAGTTATTTCTCTACATTATCAGTATTATAATTCTGAATCAGTGACCTTTTTTTGGCCAATCCACACAGTGAGTACTTCAACCCATTAAGACAAGCAAGCATATGGATTGAGGTGAGACAGCCATCTTGGATGGCATGTGCTTCATCCCAGGTAATGCTTCACCCAGGTCCCCACAGAACTCCAAAACCCCATTAGAAAAACTCACCAACAAATCGGACAGCTCTCCTAAGAAAAGAGTTGAAATTGCAGCCACCTGCGTTGATATTGGCCTCGGCTCCAATTCCATTCCGGCGTTTGGAAAGGCAGCAGTAGAGAATGCTCTCGCCTACCATAATCTGCAATTACAAAGGCTGGATGCAAGGTGACTGTTATAATGATTTGAGCAGGGTCTGGCTCAAGTCAAAGTACTTTATATGTAATTATTGGAGAGCAAATTTCATCCACCAAAGTGTGGATGCTCGCATTACATCACAGGTGACTCTTAATTCAATTTTCTGAGGGAGGGCAGGGAATATGCTGTATGTTTACATGATCTTGTTTGCAAGAGGAACGATCAGCTCTGTTGGCTGAAACAGTAGTTCATCTAAGACAGGGGTTCTCAACCTTGGCAACTTTAAGACTTGTGGACTTCAATTCCCAGAATTCCTCAGCCAGCAAAGCTGGCTGAGGAATTCTGAAAGTTGAAGTCCACAAGTCTTAAAGTTGCCAAGGTTGAGAACCCCTGATCTAAGATCTCTTCCAGCTCTCTGTCATTGCCTTGTGGATAATTGGATTGAAAGCAGAGTGTGAATAGCTTCATAAGTGCAAACAAAAAAAATGAGTATATACTGCTATGACCGTGAAATAATATGTTAGTTTCAAAATTGACCTCTGAACTAGTTACCTTTGGGAGAAATGCTCAGGGTTACTAAATAAACTTTGAAGACTTGAACCTAGTTTTGCCACTCTGGAAATATTCCTTGTCTTGCTTTGTAGGTGTGTTGGACTATACCTGTTATTGTTTTGAAAGGTCAGTGCTCATCACAGCAATGAAGGCAGGGCTGAAATTACAGTACTTGTTTCACTTTGTATTAGCTTTCCTGAATCATGAAAACACCTCCTTGTATTGGCAATTTTCAACATTAGCTTTGACTGTCTTTAAGACATTTTTCAGTGGAACTCTACTGCTTCTCCAGTATTTTCAGCTTCATTTCCATTCACTTCTATCACCTCTGAGTAGCTAAAGAGATCTGACTGGTTTTTGGCAATTTTGTCCCATTGAGCGTGATATTTGCAGAGATGCCCATACATAACCACAATCTTGTGAGTAGCTAAGAAGCATGCTGCCACTTCTTCTTGTGGAGAGCAGCTTTGGGATCTCAACGTTAAGATAATCCACAGCTCAGATCAGAAGTTGACTAGATGGCTAGAGGAGGCCTTTTACTAATGATGATGTTTCCAGAACAGCCAGAGCAATTTTGGGGAGGATTTAAAGGTAGGAATAATTGTGGGACACTCCTATGAAATCAAACTGCCTTGAAAAATGCATAACTATCCCCTAAATTATGTCATCAAAATTCAGTGGCAAACTGAGGAGAAAATGGGTGATTTGCTTCCCTGAAAACTTCTCTTCCCACTCTTATTTTAAGCAATTAAAAATGTACTTTCAAAATTGGCTAATTTCCCACCAAGCTTGACAGCACAATCCCAGGGAGCTATACCCAGTTCTTAGGCCACAAGCATCCTATCTTGCAGTAAACAACAAAAGTAGCTAAAGGTAGGTGAAGCTAACAAAACAGGATCAGTGGCTCCTGTAAGGAACTCCTTAAGATTATCAACAGCTTGGCCTAGCTTGACCATTGTGGTGGCCATCTCCCTATTTTGCTGAAGTCTGAATGTGATTTAATTTGGTTCTCCTGACGTTTTGCTGCTATTTATTTATTTTAATTGATTGATTGATTGATTGATTAAATAATATGCCACCCATCTCATTATCCAAAGCCCTGGGTGGCATATCTTTTGCTCAGTGTTATCCAACAGATCTTACAATAGTTGGCACAGGTGGCTGTTCCTCTCTTAATTCTCTCCAACAGGTATGTTAGTTAGAACTACAGCCTTAATTGCCCAGTACCCAGTAAGAAGCATAAATAAAACAACTCTCAATTATTTAACATAGGCTTCCTCTTTTTGTTGGAAAGAAAGCAAGAAGAAATAGGTTCTAGTTAGTAAGAATCACAGTATTTCCTCTAGTGTTTTAAGTGAAAAGTCATGCAAAGAATCTTTTCGTCATTTTTTTTAAAAAAAAACATTAATTAAAAATTGTGGAGGCCATTTTTAGAAAACTGATGATGCAATACATCTCCCAGTATCCGTGTAATTGAGAGTGCAGTAACTTGACATTACTGTTCTCTCAGCTGCCCTACCTTAATGGATTTCCCTTATTTCCCCCCACAGCAAAATAAGGATGGTGAAGATAGTAAAATTCAGCCATAATGTAGTTAGTAAGGGGGACTTAAGGGATTTAGTAAGCTAAACGCTATTGTTCAAATGAGCTTCCAATAACATAATGGGCTTCAGTACAACTATTAAGGTGCTATCGGGATTGAAAGTTGACATTTTTATTTTTTACAGAATTCTTAATTGCTTTTGATTGTTATATATGAAGATCTCCCTTGGAAGAAGCATAAGTCAAAGCCATGCAACTGTTGATTGAGGTTTAGATACTGAATGATTTTGCACAACACAATTAACCAATTTTCCAGCTTTGTACATAGTAGCGAACTATAAGCTAGCTAAAATGGGCTGGGTTGATGTTTGATCTAGTGATAATGAGCTGACTTAGAAACCAGGAGACTGTGAGTTCTAGTTCCACCTTAGGCATGAAAGCTGGCTGGGTGACTTTAGGCCAGTCACTCTCTCTCAGCCCAGCTCACCTCATTGTCCGAAATGATATAGGGTTCCTGCCTGAGCAGGAGGTTGTACTAGATGACCTCCAAAGTCCCTTCCAACTATTATTATTATTTATTATTATTATTATGAAAATAGGAGGAAGAAAGAGTATTAGGTAAGTTCACCATCTTGAGATACTTATAAAGCAACAAGGGTGGAATAAAAATAAATGTAATCATTAAAAAATATATATACCAAGCCACAGGAACACTAACCAAATTCAAAACTAAACAAGTGGAACATGTCTGAATAAGCAGATAAGTGAGGCATACTGTACAAGCTTTCCTAAATTATTTTACCAACTAATACTTCTGTTTTACCAATCCATTATTCTTCCAAGTACAAGGGGATACCAAAAATCTGAATCAAGATGCCAAGATTCAGCTTTGATCATGTGAACCAGCAAAGAACTAATAATGTCCAATTACCTATCCAGCTGTTGAAGAGAACATGCTTTTCTTCAAAGTTTCTTTCCAGGGGAGAACATTCCTTAACGGGCAGCTTTTCAGACTCAGCTGCCCAAATCTGTCACACTGGATCTTTTGACTATAGGTGAGCAAAACTGATCATGGAGCTCTCTGCAAATAAATCACTGCATCAATTCTTGAAGATGGGAATTGCAGATCTGAGGATCTGGTCTTCTGCTAATGGGCTGATACCATGCTGAGCACCCGCAAACCCACAAAATGAATAGGACAAATGGGAAGTTCTCTAACTCACCATAATGGCAGGAGCAGCAAAAGCCAAACTGAGCAACATCAAGATAGGAACGGCCTCCTGGGAAGGTTCAATGTATGGCATACTCAGACTTCTATCGTAACAGCTGAATCCGGCATGCACCGGCTTGAAGACATCCGTGAGTTCAAGAAAATAGAGACTGACAACAGAAGAGGCCAGTATGGGCAGCTAAGAAAGAAACATGAGAGTTACTTTAAAAAAACAAACAAACATGCATATATTTAAGCTCTATCTTGAAAGTGTGTATATTAATAGTGAACTCAGATGTTAAGAAGGCTTTAGGACAGACACTACCTTATGCAAGAAAACATTCGGTTGCATGGTAGGTCTTCCCTTACCTATCCTTCCTCATGTCATTCCTTGAGTAGACTTTAAATGTGCTATACAGGATAGCAACAGCAATAGCACTTAGACTTATATACCGCTTCACAGTTCTTTACAGCCCTCTCTAAGTGGTTTACAGAGCCAACACTGTAAGAAGACCCCCAAGAATCTGGGTCCTCATTTTACTGACCTCGGAAGGATGGAACACTGAGTCAAAGGTCAGGATTGAACTCCTGGCTGTGGGCAGAGTTAGCCTGCAATACTGCATTCTATCCACTGCGCCACCAGGATACCAAGGGGAAAAATAAATCTCTTTCACCAGCAATTTAGGCCCTGTGGCAGATGAATTATCCACTGCATGATCATTGACCAATGTTTCTCAACCTTGACTGCTTTAAGCTCTCCACACAGCTTTACGCTACTAAGGTGAGAAACAGTGGCAAATGTTAAAAAAGAAGAAGAAGAAGAAATCACCAAGGTGATTTGCAGGGGGAAAAAAGGAGACAAGTTATGTGGGGCAAATTCATCGAGAAATTCTTGTGTAAAGACTGCATATGCTCAATGGCTACAAACCAAAGGGCTTTGGGACTAAAATAAAAATGTTAGAGAGCAAGTATAGAACAAAACATTTAGGAAGCTTTTGTTTCAAGTCTTGTTTGTATTAAATTATTGGCGCTGATAACCCTGGAGACAATTCAGTAAATGATGCATTGATAATCCTGGATAGGATACAATAAAAAGTATGCATTTTTAAATTTAAATCCTCTATTGTGGATTAAAATGAGTTAAGTGCAACTTAATTGTCTGTCATAACTTCATTAAATTAATGTAAATTCAGAATTTTTAAGTGGGGCTAGTCACATTATTTTATTAATTTGGCATTTTATTAAGTTTGCTCCTATCTTCTAAAGAAATTGAGAAATGCAATATGAGCTACAACAAAACCGAAGATCACAATCTGTAATACAATACAAGTAGTAAAGCAATGATTAAACTCTACACTGAGCACCAACATTAGCTAATGCATTTTTATAAGCAGTTCTCTTGCATCTATCTTTCAGCACAGAGGGTGGCTAAGATAGCTCTTGGGACTCCTGGCTGGTACTATATTGGAGCAAAGAAAGCACTGTTGTTTCATTTACTCCAACCTAGCACTCAGTGGTAGCTACTGTTGTATATAGCAATCTAGCTCAGTGGTTCTCAACCTTTTTAATGCCGCGACCCCCAACCGGTCGTAAGTCGAGGACTACTCAACCGGTCGTAAGTCGAGGACTACTCAACTGGTGCAGCACCGTTTGCAGAATGGGACTTTTGGCGGGCTCAGCAGGGCAGAGACAGCCTGGACAATTCCTATTGGCTTTTGAAAGCCAATAGAATTAGACTCTATTCAAGAGAGTCTATTCTATTGGCTTTCAAAAGCCAATAGAATAAAAGGGAGTAGCACAGCTAAGGAAAAGGGGAAAAAAATGGCGGACTGCGTTGTTTGGTGACCCCCGTGAAATGGTCATTCGACCCCAAATGGAGTCCCGACCCACAGGTTGAGAACCACTGATCTAGCTGAAGGCAAATATACATGTCCAAGGATAATGTTACAGAATCCAATCTGGGTCAGTCACTGGGAGTAGAGGCTTAGTCTTCTGGGATTTTGGACTCATTCTGGAGCCCAAACTCAGAGAAGTTTTCTCTCATCAGAATGTGATTTGTTCAGATTGGATCCTGCAATATAGCTGAACCTTGTGGTGTGCCCTTTCTCACAAGGTCTCTTCTCTATTTGACAGAACTCAACAATATTTCTGTCCAAGTCTGATTAAAATATTAAATAAACACACAGGGAAGAAGAATGGGGTCTGAAGTCATCTATTCATACCTGGCCAATAGGAAGATCAGGTACACTTATAACCTAAGTTAGAATCTTTCCCACTCAGGTGAGACGTATATATTTCTATTTAAATTTTAATAAATTTGCATCTATATATTGGCAAGTGCAAATTTTATGCAAATCTATATCTTTGTTGCTGAAGCACAAGTTGCCAGGTTGCAACTTTACCACATTATCTTGTATACTTTGGGGGGGCAGAACATTAAAAAAAATAGACCAGCATTTTTTTTCCTACTGGAAAATTCTGAATATTAAAAAAGTTTACATCGTTCCCAGGATATTCATTCATTCATGCTACAAAAAAAAAAAAATTAAGCTTCCTTCTACCAATGTTGGACAAGTTAATTCACAAATTAAAAATAAACAAATAAAGATACTTAAATTCTCGGACTGCACAAAGCAGTGGTCATATTTATCTGATTTTTGCAAATCATGACAGCATCAATGTAAGGTTACTGTTATCCTTATTTCATATGTAAAAATACACTGAGAAATTACCCAAAACAGAATAAAATTTGAGCTCCAGCAAGAGTCCAGAAATATCTTGATCCCATATAAATAATCAGAAGTCCAGTAGCAATTTTTCCAACTAACAAAGTTTATTAAAAGTGTAGGTTTTTCTGAGCTAAATGTATGAGCTCCATCCATCCATCCATTCATCATTGGTCAAGGCTAGCATCTGGGTTTGAAGTCAAAAATATACTAATCCGGCAAAACTGATGAAAGATAAAAGGAGTGTTTTCAAATTCCATCATGTATGCAAAAGCATGTAGCCGTAATTTGGACCAACTGAGAGTTCTAAACTATATTATTCATCTATTCTAGGCTACTGGTCATGATAAATTAATAACATGCATTAAAGTTATCCAAATGTTTATCCCTCTCCTCCCAAAAGTCTATTCATTTTGCTGAAAGGCAAATGCCTGCATACACACATGAAATTCTTTATTAGCATAAGTATTCATGTCTCTAAAGTTCCACATCTATGCTATTTTGGGGGGCATCTGCATATAGAGTTTTCCCTAATACATGCATTTTGAATTAATTTTTGACACATTTTATAAGCACATTCTCCTTGTAAAATTCTTGGTTTGGATTTCTTGAAAGCCCACTCATCTAGAGATTCAAAACATCTGACAATCGTTCATCAAAATGGATGTTTTGTAACAACTTATTCCAGTCCTATGTTATTCATGATTATTCACAATTATAATTCAAATAAGTTTGGTGGGGTATATTTTTAAATAAATTACATAAGACTATGTCCTTAAAAACAATTCCAAGTGGAAGTAGAAGTGAAAATAGAGTGAACCTTTATCCATTATCTTGATGGGTGGGTGGATGGGTGGATGGATATATATATATATACACACACGTGTGTGTGTGTGTGTGTGTGTGTGTGTGTATGTATGTGTGTAACAAGATTTAACCCACCTTGGCTTATCCCCCAAAAAGATCTAAGCATAGTCAAAGTTGGTTAATATTTGGATGAAAGTCGTTAAGGAAATTGAAAACACTAAGCCAGGGCTCATAAGAAAACATTTTTTTAAAAAAACAGGAAAATATCAAATTACTTCCATATTATTGCCAAGAAAACTACAGGAATATGTCTACGAAGACTCCAGGAATCAAGCTCTGCTTGAAAGACATTTTATCTGCATTGCCACATTCAAAGCCCTTCTGGTTTTGATATGGTTGGTGATGGAGAAGAGGGGATTGTGTACTTAACTGAATTTTATTTGAAGCATTGATTTATGGATTGAGATAAACACTGGAATATAATTGTCCCATGACAAATCTGTTACTTATGGTGATTATATACCTGTTAGTATACTTTTGGAACAAATACTACAGATTACAGTTCACCAAGTCTTACTATTTAATCGAAATAAAGTGATTTTAGGGGATGTTCCTAATAGTTGGTGAAGGCCAAAAAACACAATTTATCATACTGAATAATGGAAAATACAGCAGATGGTTTTGCTATGGAAACAAGCAATAGTAGATGCCACAGCTAGGAGCAAAATCAGAACAAGCATAATTTTTCTAATGAATTCTGACATTTACAGTATTTGATTATATCCTTCCTTTTGTATAACTCAAGGTGGCATTTGTAATGCTGTCTTTTCCTCTCCCCCCCCCCCCCGCCACCACAATAATTCTGTGAAGTGGGTTGGGCTGAGAGAAAGAGATTGACCCAAAGTCACCCAGCTGGCTAATGTAGGCCTAGAACTCACTGTCTCCTCGTTTCTAAGCCAGCATCCTTAGCACTACACCAAGTTTGTCCCCTCTTAAAACTTTTTATGATTCAAATTTCATTACCACTGTCCCATCAAGCTGATCTAGATAACCTTATATATAATTTAGAAATATGTAGAATGTTAATGTAGAAATACGTAGAATGTAGAATACTTAAATGTTGAAAACGTTTCACTCAGATCTTGTGCTTTGTTGAAACAACTCGGCCATGATTGACAATGATTCTGAAAGCCTAAAAATAGCTTTTTATTGGTACACATTGGGCCAGTCTACAATGGTACATCCTTCTGCTGCCCCCACTCTGCTAATTGCATGCCTTCCTTCAATCAGTCTATCTAGAATACCTGGTCTGTTATATCACACATGGCATTGCTTGATGTTATGAAATAATATCCTGAGCTAGTTCATTTTATTGTCATAAATAGTGGGATAAATACATAGGTCTGACATCATGTCGATATTTGAAGGAATAGGATCATATGTCAACATGAAATGGCTTATTCCAATAACTGCTTCTTTTACCCACTGCTAGCAATCTTCTTTGGGGGCCCTTTCATAGAGTTCTTCCTGTCCTACCACCTGAAAATGTTTATCAGAAGCTTGGGGAGCTGAAATTGGGATGTTCTGCCAACCAAGCCCACGTTTCTCCAATATCTCAGGGGCTGCCATAAAGAAGAGGGAATTAAGCTATTTTCCAAAGCACCTG